TGGAATGTGTCCTAAGAGTAAAAAGAACTTCAAAAAAGTTTAAAAAATTTTTAGTAATCATTTGTTAGTGGTAGGTTGATGTTTTATTCTGCAAGTGTTCTGTGGTTGTGGGAAAAGCAATGAGTAATTATTTTGGAGTGACTGTGCACCAAGATTTTCAAGGTAGGAGAAAGGAGATATACTTTGATAAAGTTAAGTAAAAATTCTGGCATCCTGATGATTAGGAAGTGTCAGGATGAACACATGATTTATTTTATGCTGAAAATGTAATTCTACACCCTATGCTCATCCACTAGGAAGGCCTAGAAATTGACCCATCCCAAACAATGAGCACTCCGGCTCCCAGACTATGGTTTTGAAATACCATTCCCTTTAAAAGGACCAGGTCTCCTCGACCTTGAGAAATGGCTGATTACAGACTTGAAGCAGGAAACATATAATGTTAGACTGGAAATCTGGTCATTCTGGAAAGCCAGGACGCTATCAACAACTACTGAGGTTGTGTCAAAAGGACCCAGAAGCCAACATGAAGAGACTACCACTGGCCAAAGATGGGACAATGTGAGTATCAGTAAGGGTAATAAGTGCAGTAAACTGAAACACATCAAATTTGTTTAAATCTAATGTGTTCATAATGATATTTATTTATTTGTTTATTTATTTAAATATTTGACAGAGAGACAGAGTGCGCGGGGTTGGGGGGGGCAGAGGGGGGAGGGAGAGAGAGAAGCTCAAGCAGACTCCAAGCTGAGCACAGAGCCCCATGTGGGGCTCGATCTCACGACACTGAGATCACCACCTGAGCTGAAACCAAAAGTCAGATGCTTAACCAACTGCACCACCCAGGTGACCAATGATATTTATTTTATAAAACGTTACTGGTCACCTTTGGAAGATGCTAGAGACCCAGCCCATTTATTTTGAAAACTAGTAAATAGAGAAAGAACAGCATATATCCTGCCTTTCCTATACGAACTGTGTCTCGGGGTAACATTTAGCTATATATAAATGCTATAAATATAGCTAACATTTAGCTATAAGGGAAAATTCTCTTTTCAGAAGTGTTCCAGCTAATAAATGAAGACATATGATAGAATTTAGAATATCGCCATTTTGCAACCCCTAAGGCAATTAGTGGATCTTAGACAATGACTACCAACGGTTGCTCGCCTCCCGAAGAGAGAGACAAACTGCCATTAGTTTATCCCAGTGGAGGTACACAACGATGTATTCAGCAAAACTAAACTAAGTCTGAATCTGATCAAGCTTCTAGATCGAACTACCAGATTATAATAACAGGGAAGGGGGTAAAGCTATCAATTAAATTAGAGATTTAAAAGCCACAACTATGGACCTTCCAGCCACGAGACCTCCCCCTTCTCTGGACTTCAGTTGGCTCATCTTTGAAATGAATGGGTTGACCTGATGGTCTGACAGGCCCCCAGCTCTGGGGCTCTAGGACTCTAGGATGCCATTCCAGTCACCTGCTTGCATCAGCACCTCTTCTACTATCTGTGTGGCAGACTTCTGCGGCTGCTGAGATATAGGTCCCACATTCCTCAGGAACCAGAAATCAGGTGCCGTCCAGGGGAGCCCCAGATGATGGGTATGAATGATCCTGTCTACATCAAAGGCTCTGCTTATCAGATCCTTTGCCTCCTCCTCATTCATTAGCCAAATCTCCCGAAACTGCTTGTCATCAATGAGAGCAAAATGCCTGTGAAGGAGAGTTGATCAGCATGGCCAGCAGACCCCAGGGGGCCTGGCCAGGGTCCCCTCCATGAGCAGTAGGGCGAGCAAGGAGGTGGAGCTGGGGTGCATCCCGGTCCCGGTCGCCAGCCCTCGCCTATGCAGACTGGAGGTGGTGGTCCCCACACGTCTCAAGAAAAGGCAGGGGACATGCGAGTAAAGGGACGGGGAAGACAGCACAAAGGACTCTTTGTGCCTGGGCCCACCTCTATCTAGGGCACGTGCCTTGGGACCCAGGTCCCTAAAATACCGCATGGCTTTCTGTAGCTCCTTGAATTGCATCACAAGGCGTTTGTAGTCAGAGGTCAGCGACTGGTTCTCCTCCTGAAACTGCTTGATCTGTTTGGCGTATTTCGATCTCAGATTGTTGAGGGTATCATGCAGGCTGCCGGGCAGAGGGGATGAAGTTCATCTGCAGCTGAACAGAAGCTGTGGTGTCTGTTCCCCTCAGCGACTTCACACAACTCTACAGCCCCCAGGGTCAGAGTTGTGCAGGTGCAGAAAACCCTCCCATTTATTCCCAAACCCAGCGGCTCCGACTGTGATCGAGGAAATGAAGGCCACAGGAGGTAAGGGGATCATCCAGGAGTAAACTCATTTACATCGGTCCAGAAGCCCTGACCCACTGAGGGGCAGTCTCCTACTCAGGACTGTGACTGAATCCTCCCCCAATGCGCCACCTCACATCTTTAAAGGGCACATCTCAACTATTTCACTGCCATGATTTGGATGTTCATTTCCCGTCTAAAACAAGGGAAATAGAAATGGAAAACTTAAAACTCCACACCACAAGTGTGTGAGATATGAGCCCTCCATCCTCAGAGAGCCGATACAGTTCATGAGTCCGATAGTTCATTCATGCACTCCCTCATTCACCAAACATGGAAGGTCTCTTGCCAGGGGTATGTTTGACTACAGCGATGAATACAAGGATATGTTCGAACAGAAGGCACGATCAGTCAAGCCAGAGGCAAAGACACACTCATCACAGTGGAGCGTGGAAGTACTGGGGGGTGGGGGGCACTTTACACAGGATGCCGGCGAGCCCAGAGCTGAGGCATGGAACTTACCCTCCAGGGGAGTGGCCGGAGGTTCCAGCACAGTGAGGGACAGTGATAGCCTGGCCAATGGTCCTGTGAGCCCAGGCATGTCACAGCTCCCCATCCCACTGCTCTGGGAGCTCTCTCTGTGCATGGAAACTTGCCTCATGAAATATACACGGCAGGCACGGCTCTTAGACCCAGGACCATACATACGTCAGACTTCAAGCCCGTGAAGAGGTGTCTTATGTCAGTGCCCCATATACACAGGAAGACAGACTCTGAAGGCCTAGATATTTTCAGTTTAAAAATTCTAAAGGGGACGCCTGGGTGGCTCAGTCGGTTAAGCAGCTGCCTTCGGCCCAGGTCATGATCCCAGGGTCCTGGGATCGAGTCCCATATCGGGCTCCTTGCTCAGTAGGGAACCTGCTTCTCCCTCTCTCTCCCTCTGCTTGTGCTGTCAAATAAATAAAATCTTTAAAAAAAAAAAAAAAAATTCTAAAGATAGGGGCAGTTGGGTGGCTCAGTTGGTTAAGTGTCCAACTCTTGGTTTCGGCCAGGTCATAATCTCGGGATCCTGGAATCGAGCCCCGCATCGGACTCTGTGCTCAGTGCAGAGCCTGCCTGTCCCTCTCCCTCTGCTCCTCGTCCCCCCTCCACCCCACTTATGCTCTGTCTAAAATAAATAAATAAAATCTTTAAAAAAAAAATTCTAAAGATAAAACTTTCCCTCTTAAGCATTATTCTGAAATAAGCATAGGGTCCCTAAACACTCAAACATCCATCCTTTGTGTTTTCAGCCTTAATAAAATGCAAAAATCACTTAGGCTCTGATAAAAACCAATATCTAATTCATTTTCTTTTTTTTTTTAAGATTTTATTTATTTATTTGACAGAGAGAGACAGCGAGAGAGGGAACACAAGCAGGGGGAGTGGGAGAGGGAGAAGCAGGCTTCCTGCCGAGCAGGGAGCCTGATGCGGGGCTCGATCCCAAGACCCTGGGATCATGACCTGAGCCGAAGGCAGACGCTTAACTGACTGAGCCACCCGGGCGCCCCTGTTTTTATGTTTTTATCTTACTTTCACGTGTGGTACTTCCTGCTTCTCTAAAATGCACAGTACTGCTTCTGTAATAACAAGTGGAGGACTTACCCTACAGAGAGCTCTGCGCATCTGCAGAGTGAGACCCTGGCATGAGTACCTACACTGGTATCATTTGCAGTAGCAAAAGATTAGAAGCAATCTAAATGTCCATCCACAGGGACATTAAATCACGTGAAAGCTCTTTATGAACTGATATGGAAACATTCAAGACACAGAAAAGTGTGTATGGAATGCTATCATTTGGTCTAAAAACAGAGGGGGTGGTGAGAGTATTTATCTGTGTTTGCTTATATGTGGTTAAAGAAATTCTGGAAGAAACAAAAGAAAAGAACAATTCTTACAGAGGTGGGAAAGAGGAGCCACACAAAATGGGGAGTGGGAGACGGACTTTTGCTGTACATTCTTTCATGGGGGAGGTGGTGGAGCAGTTGAAAGTATTATCTTTTCCCCAAAAACTCTTTTAATAAGACTTGGTTATATTGTTAACAGCTTGCACTCCTCCAGAAGGGGAGAGTTGATCCCCATCCCCATTTTCAGCACAGAAGGGCTCATGTTCTACATGCTCGCTTACCGATTGATCTTCCTCTTCTGCTGGGATTTGATCACTGTGCTCTCTTCGTCTCTCTTCTTCAGCACCTGGAAGTTGTACTCCAACTTCTCTTGGTTTAGCTGATAAGTTGCTTTCATCTGCTGAAGCTGTTGCTCAAGAACCTAAAGTTTAAAAAATAATAATACTCACTGGCCCTGGTATCACTGGTTGTACCTTGAGGGTCCCTGATTCTTTGTTCTGGAGTCATGTCAGAGGAACCGGAGTGACAAGTGCCTCCACCTGAATTCTTAGAAAATCTGTTATTAGAGGCAAATGAAAGGCCAACCAGAAAAAATATATCCATCATTCAGGCACCTGGGTGGCTCGGTTGGTTAAGGGTCTGCCTTCGGCTCTGGTCATGATCTCGCGGTCCTGGGATCAAGTCCCACATCAGGCTCCCTGCTCAGTGGGGAGTCTGCTTCTCCCTCTCCCTCTCCCTCTGTGCTCTCCCTCTCTCTCTCTCAAATAAATAAATGAAATCTTTAAAAAATATATCCATCATTCGACTGCAAGCTTAAAGCCTGTGTCCCTAAAGCCTGAGAGAGATGACATTTAGAGCCTCCAGTGCTGAGCACCAGACCCTCTGGAGATACACATCACCCCACCAGAAACACCATACAAGTTCATATTGCCACAGAGGTGTCCCCACTCATGTCCCCAGAATGTCTAACTGAGACCTGGAAAATGAGTAGGAGTCACTCAGGTGGACACCTCAGGGGACAGAGCTCCAGAGGGGCACGGGAATGAGGTGCTTTGGGGAAACCACGAGCAGTGTAGGGTGTGAGGTATGAGGCAGGAAATGGTCAGAAAAGAGGCTGGCAGAGCAGCAGGGCAGTAGAGAAAGATCACTCTGGGGGCGTCTGGGGGGTACAGTCGGTTAAGTGTCCGACTCCTGGGTTTCAGCTCAGGTCCTGATCTCAGGGTCCTGAAATCGAGCCCTACGTTGGGCTCCACACAGTCTGCTTGGGATTCTCTCTTCCTCTCCCTCTGCCCCTCCTGCTCATGCTCTTTCTCTCTCTCTAAAATAAATAAATAAATCGAAAGAAAGAAAGGAAGGAAGGAAGGAGGGAGGGAGGAAGGAAGGAAGGAAGGAGGGAAGGAAGGAAAGAAAGAAAGAGCGAAAGAAAGAAAGAGAAAGAGAGAGAGAGAGAAAGAGCGAAAGAGAGAAAGAAAGAAAGTCACTCTGACAGTTAAAAAAAAATGTCAAGAGCAAGACAAGGCTAGAGGCAGGGCAAATAAAGGCAAGCTTGCTCTGGCCTTTCCTGAGTGGAAATGCAGGAACAGAGGATGTCATTAAGTGTGATCAGAGCTTGACAAGCAGGGACATGTGACATGTGGCACTCAATCAAGCCTCCTTCCCCCATCTCCTTCCACACTGCTACAGAGCCTTGCCAAGGAATCAACTTATGAAGTGAGTCCAGACAGCATCCCCTCCCAGCTCTGGACCATCCTCAAGGAGGGTAACTGGCCAGGAGATGATGCAGAGGAGAACAAAGGCGCTGGCATGGATAACTGAGAGAATTAGTCAAGAGTACCCTGTTTATCCCAGAGAGTTCTAAATCTCCATTATGAGCAGGTATCTCACAATGATTTATGCCCCTGTACTCCAAAGGAAACCGGCCCTGGACATCGGGAAGACCACTGACCTAGGAGGTGGCTCAATACAAAGTCCAATAGAAAAGCTCCTTGCTGGATGGAGATAACCTAGGAAGGTATGAACACTCTCCGGAGTTGCTCTGATTTGGAAGGACAGTGAGTGGCTGAGACCCCAAGTGCCTGGTGTTTGCTCTGATGACGTCCAGGGACCTCCTTTTTCTCGTAGCCTTACAATAAGCCCCTATCACTAAGACAGCATTTCCCAAACTTATTTGGCCATAGAACAGTTTTTACATTTATAAGGAAGTGAGACCATGTGAGTTACAAATGCAAGCTGTAGCCCTTTAGTGTTCGTGTAAATTTCATCCCTGAAGGCACATTATTAGATAATACTAACTATGGAAACCGACTCTCTCTTTATCCTACATAATACATCTTGAAAGGAAAAAAAAAAAAATCACTGACTCACTTTTTTTGTTAGTTTTGTGAAACCACCACTCATACCTCACCTAGCTGAACACAGTTCACAAAACTCTGCACTGAAGTAATTAGGCCGTGTCTTTTTCTTTGTGACCTGAAAGAACTCACATCTGAGCTGATTTTATAGGCAAAACAACAAACAAAGAAACTCTGTCACCTGCCGGTTCTAATTTGCATTTCTTTGCTTGCGCTTGTGGTTCATTATTTATTAGCCGATTTGATTTTCTCTTGTGGAGCGCACCTGCTCGTGCTCTTTGCTAGAATATGTTCCTAGGAGACTGATGCAGGGAAGGACTAGCAATGCAACATGCACTGTGGGCTTTCCATCTCTAGGGGCTCACAGATCAGCCGCTCCGTCACCCCAGCTCTGGTCCAAGACCTCTGCCACCTCCAGTCGCAATGCCCTTTGGGAGTTACTCTCAGTGCTGTCAATGAACTTGCAGAACTAATAGTCTTGTAGTCTCACCCAACAGAGTCTACAGCAGGTGGCTGCATGAATTATGTGACTCATTTGTTTTCAACACCTTCTGCTCGAGATAATTTGGGTACCGGTGACTCTTGTCAATTATTTCAGGGTTTAGTCTCAACATATAGCCGTTCTTGGTTGTCATACGTTGAAAATAGTTTTATATTTTAAAATTGTAACTGATTTTGTTAACTGTCTGCGCTTATTCTTCAATTACCGAAGATACTGTCGCGAAGCTGTACTTTATGTTCCCAAGACTAATGGTGAAACATCGTGTTTGGGTTTTGTGAATAATTTATGAAGATTATTCCTGCGTCAGTACAAGCCTCTCCACGGCCGCTTTCCATGCCACCTCTTGCCCCACAAGCTCCAGAAAACCAACTGCCATCGTCACCCCAAGTAGAATGGAAATTTGAAACAGCCATTCCCCTGGTCCCGTGGGCTGACCTCAGAGATCCTACCGGGCCTCTGCACCTCCACTCTCAGGAACTGTGCCTTATTTATCACGGCACTTTGCATAATGTAAGTTCACGGTATTTGTTAAATAAGTAACTTGTATTTGATTTTTGTGATTAATATTCTGGTATTAAAGGTAACAGTCCCTGAAGTTGAACTAAACCATCTTACAATTTTAAAAGCACAAGTAGGACCTAAAGGAAAAAGCATTTGTTTCCTGCATCAAGAACGAGGTGTTTCTAGTAGTGTTATTTTGGGGCGGTGGGCGGGTGTGGTAAAATCCTTCTCAAGTGCATAATGTTTACAGGCTTTTTCTTTCTTTTTTTTTTTTTTTGCTCATTAACACTGTCACCTTACTGTCAGTAAGCACTCGGAAAGTACACACTCTCTTTCTTACTTCTTGTACTTTACCCATCAAACCAAATCTATGTGTTTTGGATCCTTCGGATTTTTGCGATTTGCAAAAACTGTAGTTGTATATTTTAGAACTGATACAGTGCTATGAATTACTTAGGAAGAGCAAATTTGATGTTGAGCTGTGTGCTGTATCTTCTTGACAAAAATCGATGCTATTTGACTTTACTGTCTAGTGAAAGTACACCTATGTGGCATTATGATCAAGTTCGATCTACTAAAATACCCCACATATGGCAATATGGTAATCCCCGATTAGATTATCTATTCCTAGTTAAAGGGTAATGTGGGATAGTATACTCCTGCTTTCCATGCTAACACGGGAAAGAACCACTGTGCACAGGAACTGCACACAATTCCCCGCGCTGAATCTCTCCGTCTGCCTGCCTCCCACATACCCACACTCCACAGGTCGTCCAACTGGACAGGGGAAGCCAGGAGACACGGGTGTCCCAGGCTCTCTGCCTCTCCCTCACCTCCCTAGTCTTCCATCACCCCTTACCCCCAAAATCTCCCCACGTCCCAGAATTTTTTGACTTTGTTCAAGCATTTGAGGATTAGATTAAGAATGTGAGGTTCTACTCCTACAACTCAATAGCAAATAATAATAATAATAATAAACTACCTGATTAGAAGACATACAAATGGCCAATAGGTTTGTGAAAGGTGCTCAACGTCACTTCTTATCAGGGAAATGCAAATCAAAGCTACAATGAGATATCACTTCACACCTCTTAGGATAGCCCTTGTCAAAAAACCAATGACGACAAGTGCTGGCAAGGATATGGAACAGGAAAGCTCGTGCACCGTTGGTGGGAATGCGAACTGGTGCAGCCACCCTGGAAACAATATGGAGGTTCCTCAAAAGATAAAAAATAGAGCTACCATTTGACCCAATAATCCCACTTCTGGATATAGATCCAAAGACATTGAGATCTGGATCTTGAAGAGATGTCTGCACACCCCTGTACATTGTGGCATATTCACAACAGTCAAGAGATAGAAACAAGCTAAATGTCCATCAGTGGACTAATGGGGAAAGAAAATGTGGGAAACATATCATGCAATCTTCCTCAGCCTTAAAAAAGGACAATCTAGGGACGCCTGGGTGGCTCAGTCTGTTAAGTGTCTGCCTTCGGCTCAGGTCATGATCCCCGTGTCCTGGGATCAAGTCCCGCATCGGGCTCCTTGCTCAGTGGGGAGCCTGCTTCTCCCTCTGCCGGCAGCTCCCCCTGCTTGTGCTCTTCTCTCTCTCTCTCTCTCTCTGACAAAAAATAAATAAAAAATCTTAAAAAAAAAAAAAAAAGGACAATCTACCATTTGCAACAACATGGATGGACAGGGAGGACATTATACTAGTAAGTGAAATAAGCCAGACACAGAAAGACAAATGCTGCATGGTCTCACTTGTATGTGGGATCTAAAACAGTCAAACTGGGGGAGGGGCAGGGGGGAGGAGTTGGTCAGAGGGCACAAAGTTTCAGTTATGTGGGATGAATAGGTTCTGGGGATTTAACGGTACAACAGAAGGTCTTTGAGTAACACTGCTGTTATTGTATATTTAAAATTGTATCAAGAGAGTGGATCTTGTGTTACGTGCTCTTAACACAGAAGGAAAAACAAAACAACCAATAAAGGAACATGAGTTTCCATTAGTTCACTGTTGGAGGTCAGCAGTGTCACTGTGGTTTTGTCCCATAAATTTTTTTTTTTTTTTAAAGATTTTACTTATTTATTTGAGAGAGAGAGAATGAGAGAGCACATGAGAGGGGGGAGGGTCAGAGGGAGAAGCAGGCTCCCCGCCGAGCAGGGAGCCCGATGCGGGACTCGATCCCGGGACTCCAGGATCATGACCTGAGCCGAAGGCAGTCGCTTAACCGACTGAGCCACCCAGGCGCCCCATGTCCCATAAATTATTATAGAACCAAAATGACTAACGAGAGCTTAACAATAGCCATTTTCATTAAAAGTGCCATGTATGCGGCCCACATACACAATGCTGCTCTCAGACTTCCACTGTTCCTTGTCATGACTCTTATTTCCATGACATTAATATGAGAAAGGCCCAGGAAAATTCTCAAGACTGGTGAGAATATTTGTAGTCTGGAGGGGCTTTGATTCAACCTTGTTACATAAAGCCACAAGAATAGTAGGTCCTGAAATTCTACCACAGGCTATGTGGAAAAGCTTTAGTCTAACAAGTTTTTCTAGACAGAAACGGAAGTGAATAGACTGTGCTGGAATATTAAGAGGTAATTACATCACACCTAAATATAATTAGAGATGAGCTTTTTTTAACTAACTTCGAAGCACAGAATCCTAGGCTTGGAAAGAGCTTCACAAACCAGAAAATCTAACCTCCTTCCCCTGCAAGAATCCTTCCTCAGCATTGAAGACAGACACAGTCATGCAGCCTTTAAATACTTTATGAGATAAAAGACTCCTTGTTTTGTGGGATGACCCTTTTCTATATTGGATAGTTCTAACTATTAGAAAGTTTTTTCTGGGGTGCCTGGGTGGCGCAGTCAGTTAAGAGTCCGACTCTTGGTCTCAGCTCAGGCTGTGATCTCAGGGTTGTGAGATCCAACCCCACGTCAGGCTCCATGTTCAGCACAGAGTCCACTTGGGATTCTCTCCCTCTCTCTCTGCCCCACCAGAGCGTGTGCGCTCTCTCTCTCTCAAATAAATCTTTTAAAAAAAGGAAGAAAGGAACGGAGGGAGGGAGGGAGGAAGGAAGGAAGGAAGGAAGGAAGGGAGGAAGGGAGGAAGATCTTTCTGATGGCAAGTCGGATCTGCCTTACTGCGATGTCCAACCATCAGCCAGAGGCTGTTTAGAGTATTAGGAACATTATAGGCTATCGAGCCAGACAGAGCTGGGTTTGAATCCAGGGCCTACCGTTTGCCAGGTAAGTAGCCTATTTCCTGACATATAAAATGTGGTCAGTGATTCCTCCCTTCTGTGTTAGTATGAGGACTAGAGACACTGTGCCTTAAGTGCCTAGTTACTCACTAGATGGTGGCTCTTCTGCTTTGGTCCTGATACACAGATATGATCATTTGAAAGAAAGTAGATAATGAGTACATATCTGTTGAATGGACCAACTCTAGAACATTCTGGGCAGTCACCAAGGATACAACACGCACGGGTACTCTGTCTGCTCTGCCACCCAGACGCCGAGGAACGAGTCAGACCTGCACATCCTGCTCCAGTTTGATCTTGATCATGTTGTACTCTTCCCAGTCCCACATCCTCTGCCTGTTCAGCTGCTTCTCATAGTCCTCTGCTTTCTTGATGCGGTTCATAAGATACTCCAGCTGAAGGCACGGGAAGACAAGAGGAAAGTCAGCCCTATCCCTGTCCTGCCTCAATCCTTCCAGTGGCCTGACAAGCATGACACATTGAAGGGTCTCCAAGTGTCATGAGTCTGGAGGGAGTCAGTCGGCCCTCAGAAGCTCCTGAGCCCCAAGGCTTTGTATTGTTTACCTTACTCTGGAGACTCCTAACTTGAGAAACTCCAAGAGGATTGTTCCATTAAGAAATTAGCCGTGGGCCCTGTGGTCAGACATTTGTATTTCTCAAAAAAAAAAAAAAAAAAATCCACTGGATCTTGGTCAAGCTATTTCTTTGTTCTTTATGTCTCTGAGTAAAGTGATAACCCCCACACCCTTTAAAACATCTTCCTGGGTCACACATATCCGTGGCTGGGGTAGAAGCCTGGGGACAAAGAAGAGAGTGACAGGAGCACGGGAACTCCAGCGAGCTGCAAAGGAAGGTGGTATTCACAGCCACCAGAAACAAATGTCACCACCAGAGGCAGCCACCACCTGCAGGGCCACACGGACTAACCATGAAGTGCAGTACTAAATGTCTGCCGTGGCAATCCTCCCCAAGATACAGATTCAGCAGCTAGTGCCCTAGACTCCATGGATCACCCTTGACACAGCCACCACGCCCTCCCCCACCCACCGCCCCTTTACCTCTTTGGCATTGTGAGCCTGCAGGGCCCGCTCCCATTTCTTCTTATTACTGGTCAGCAGTTCCTGCCGTTCTATCTCAAATGCTTTCTACGACCAAGAAGGAAGAGGGCTCTTGTGTCTGTTTTGATTGGGCAGGTTCCACAGTACGGAAGAACTCATAAGTATTTGCGCAAGGTGCCATGTACCAACGAGATAGCCCAAGTCAAATCCAAATGCAAACTGTTGCATGGAAATTAGTGTTATGAAGTCTGGGTTTCCCATAAATTTCTAGAAGAAATGTGCCAACTGCCCTGTGGCTCAGCCAGTATCAGAGGAGGGAGCTGGAGGAAGGCCAGTGAGTGCCCCTGAGGGCAGTTACAGGGCAAGCCCTGGCATATGCTTCAATCTCACCCAGGGCTGCTGCGCTGCTATGCTTGGGGTTCCCACGAAACAAAGGAGCATGTTGTTCACAAGGGGTAGGCCAAGGAATGCAGAACAGAGTCTAAAATAATCCAGAGAGGTCCCCACCCTCTTGGCTCTCTTCCATTTTGGAACGGTCTCAATCTCAATCCTTAATATTCCATTCAAATTCAAAGTATTGATTCCAGAACCTGTTTTCCCATGCCCCCACCCCCCGGCTGCCATAAATACAACAAATAAACCGCTCACAAATACCCGCCTCCTCCACTCTTCTTATCCTTACATGGTTTTATTTTCTTGCAAAGCACTGATTACCACCTGTCCAACTATATATTTAGTACTTTATCTGTTTACTGTCTAGCTGTCTCCTGCTAGAATACAGACTCCGTCGAGGACTTTGTTCATAGCTGTATCCCGGCCCCTGGTACAGTGGCTGGCACATAGTAGGCCCTTGACGAGTACTTGTTGGGTGAGTCAATGAATGGGTAAACAAATGAAGGGGCCGAACCCAGAGGACGAGATACCTGGCACAGTTGGGACAGACCTGGCCCTCCTCCCAGGGGCTGCCCACGGGCAGAAGGCAGCCCTCTCACACCCTGTTACCTCAATGTAATTCAGCTCCTGACGGAAGGTTTTCATGACATGCTTCACTTGTTCTTCCATTCGCTCCAGAAGTAGGCAGATGTCATCCGACTGTTTCTTCAAATCCTTCACATACTGGTCATCTTTTATTTTCAACTCCTAGAGAAGAGCGTGTCAAAGGCTGGCCACCAATGAAGACAGAAGCAAGAAGTGCCAAGCGCACTCCACTTGGACCTCTCTCTCCAGTATCTGTGAACACTAAGAATTGCAACTATACAAAGCAAAATTAACTTCAGAAGAATCTGAGGACGCCCGGGAGAAGGCACAGGGAGACGGAGTGGAGTGGCCTCAGCTCGGCGCAAAGCCGGAAGGAGCAGCAGGGGATCAAACCCTCCATGACTACTTGCTGCAAATCTCCCCATAAGCTCCCAGACAGCTTAGGGTGCCCCAGCTGAGCAATGAAGATCCAGGATCCAACATGGGAATCTATATACTACAGACTAAGTTCCATTCCTTAATTAAAAACGTAAAATCTGACACAGCATTTGCTACCAACATACATCTTTCTAAGGTCACCAATAGTTCTAAAATTACTACAAAGCTTTTCCTTCCGGTTGAATTTATTGCTTGAGTTGTGCAATAATCCGAGTAGTGAAGTGAGGCCTCCACATTTTTCCATTGAGGTAGAGCAAACAAGCCAGTCAAATCTCCCAGCCTGAGCCCACCTGGCAGGGTCGGGGCCGGGAGTCTTGCCTGCTGTAACTCGCTGATAAGCTTGTTCTTGTCCTCTATCAGCCCGGCGCAGTGCACCTGCTGGGTGTTGAGCATGTCCCACAGGTCCTGGGGAATTCTCTTCTGTTTGCCCACCTCCCACTTTGCGGTGATTTCATCAAATTTGTCTTGGCTTGTCTTGACTTCATTCTCCAGCTTTTCAAGTCTGTGAATACAAACAGGCCGGCCATGCCAGCCCAGCTCTGGAAGCCACCTCCTCCTGGAGGCAGGCAGGCTCTCGAGAGTCTGACATACCAGGCCCGGGTCCTAGGCACTGCCTCCACATACTCCCGCTCAAACCAAACCAGGCTCTGAGAAATCTTCTTTTAGCTTAAGGACTGACTGGCAGTAAGGAGACCAAATAAACGACGTGACACATAACAAAAGCAGATCAACCTTAAAGCTATACCTACCTATACACGCACATGCATGTGGATCAAGAGTTAATTTGTCACATACTTCTGTAACAAACTCTATGACTCTAGTGATCAAGGCCTGACTTTGCCACTACCTGACTCTCAACTTGAGACAAGTCCCTTACCCTCTGCAAGCTGCATTTTTCTCCTCTGTTAGAGGGAGAGGATGAAAGCACCTACTTTCATACGGCTACTGTCGAAGTTAAGTGAGATAATGCTCAGCACAGCAGTCCCTTAACAAAGGGTATACTTATTATTATTTTTGGTTATCAACACGACTTCAGGTGTGTGGCTGTTCCTCTCCCAAATTATCAATAAATGACCAGGGGGACATACAAATAGGGAAACTCCACTATTAAGCAATGGAAAATCGGCATGGCCTTTCCAGAAATTCCAAAAAGAGACTCTGTGATGGAGTATACTGAGGAGGGGACCAGAATGAAGGGAGGCGTGAGGACGAGAGGCGAGCCTCCCCTCCCCCAGAACAGCCGCTAGGACACATGCCAAGTCTCTCTCCCTACCTTAACAGACTGTCATTCTAGGAGGCTGCCCCCAGACTTGAGCGCCAACCCCTACAAGACAGAAGTAACAACTTAACCTCATGCTCCTCTCTCCTTCTCGCCTCCCTTCCGAGCTAGAGCAGAGTCCATATTATAATTCACTTGACTTTTGTCCTCAAAAAATGAAAAATAACAACCAGGTCATCTTTCTAAAGTCCACATTTATCCTGTAACTCTGCCGCTTAAGACCTTCAGTTTTTCATCAGTGGTTACAGGACAAAGCCTAACTCCTTGGCGTGGCTGGGAAATCAGCCAATTCAGGGCCAGGTATAGCCCAAGGCAGGCAGTGGGAAGTGGCAAAAATAAAGTCACCAATTGCATACTGGTAAAGCTAGTAAAGGTGGGCTGAAGGAATTACTTATGCTAAACAACTAAAAACTATTAACATCGTGCTATTGTGGAGAGAAGCTAAAATGGCCAAGTGGAGAAAGGGGGAAGAAGGGAGGAAAGCAAGCGGGAAGGAAGAGATTCATTCCTAAGGGGCAATAAGAGGAATCTGCGAGACTGAGTTTGACACAGCCACCTTCCAACAGTGGGGGGGGGGGATTTGGGGACCCACGGAAGAGATGTCCTCATGTCCCCCAGGCTGCAGAGCAGGGGCTCCTCACCTCTGACGCTTGATCTCCTCTTCTTCCACTCTCCTGTGGATCTCTCTGATATCTGTAGCCACCTGGATATTTGTCACCAACTCAGTGCCACAGAGCAGCAGTTTAGCCAATTTCTGAAAACAAAGAAGAATTTATGAAGTTAGAGGGGCACCTGGGTGGCTCAGTCGGTGAAGGGTCTGCCTTTGGCTCAGGTCATGATCCCAGGATCGTGGGATCGAGCCCCGCATCACTTCAGACTCCCTGCTCAGCGGGGGAGCCTGCTTCTCCCTCTCCCCGCCCCCCACTTGTGGTCTCTCTCGCTGCTCTCTCTCTCTTTCTCTCTCAAATAAATAAAATCTTTTAAAAAAAAGGAATTTATGAAGTTAGGAACATTTTGCTCAACTGTCTGTAGCTGTTCTATCCAACCAAGAGGGAATCAAAAGCAACCTTAAGACCCTAAGAGTAGTGGGGCGCCTGGGTGGCTCAGTTGGCTGGGCGTTTGCCTTCGGCTAGCATCATGATCTCCAGGTCCTGGGATCGGGCCCCGCATCGGGCTCCCGGCTCACTGGGGAGCCTGCTTCTCCCTCTGCCTCTGCGTCTCCCCCTGCTTGTGCTCTGTCTGTCTCTCTCTCATATGAATAAATAAAATCTTAAAAAAAAAAAAAAGACCCTAAGAGTAGCATGTATTTGGCAATCCACTTCCATCAGGATGTTGGTGATGTGATATCAGAGCTTACAATTTAATAGCACATGTGATTCTGAAGGTACTTTGGCTTATTCTCGTTAGACTAGGGATCAGCCGACTAGCACACTGGCAGATACCCTAGGTACATCTCAGCACTTGCCCCCGTAGACCCTCCAAGTGGTTGACACCACCAGGGGCTTTCCTGAGAATTCAGTGGGAGAGGTGAGGCAGAGATAATGGCAATCATCCTCCAACATCCATTCCCTCCTCCTCTCCGAGTAACAGGACCCCCAGTTTTAGCTGGACATTTGACCTACCAACATGGATACACTTCCCAACCTCCTCTGCAGCTAGAATACAGTCTGATCAATAGAACCTGAGCAGAAGTGATGTGTGCCGCTTCTGAATCGTGTGTTGAAGGAAAAACGTGTGTCCTCTGCTGCCCCATTCCCCCTCCTCCCAGGCCGGCGTGTGGTCCTCCAGTACGACTTGGGGAGCACATGAAAGCCACTAAGGAAAGGCAGAAGGAGATGAGGTCCCTGACATCGAGGAGCCGCCGGCATCAGCCCTGGACAGTGTACTTAGGCTCTGAACTACTAAGTCAGCCAGAGGGCTAAGCTTCTATGTTGTTTAAGTTACTGTTACGTGGGGTCTCCTGTTCCAGACTCTCTGGCTGCACTGCTGTCTCCCTTACTGGCTCAGCAATTTTGTTATCGGCACCCCCCTTCTAAATCCCTCTTTGGGGGTGCCTGGGTGGCTTAGTTAGTTAGCCGGCTGCCTTCAGCTCAGGTCATGATCCCGGGGTCCTGGGATCGAGCCCCGCGTCGGGCTCCCTGCTCAGCGGGAAGCCTGCTTCTCCCTCTCCCGCTGCCCCTCCCCCACCCCCACTCGTGCTCCCACTCTTGCTCTCTCTCTCTAATAAATAAAATCTTTAGTAAATAAGTAAATAAATAAATAAATAAATAAATAAATCCCTCTTTGAATTCCACATCAGTGTCTTCCCTCCTGACCTTTGCCCGATGACAGGATTTCAACACAAAGTTCAGGTATCCTTAGGCTATGCCTAAGTTTTTCTAGGTCTGGAACTTACAAATTCTCCTGCTCTCGGATTGTTTCTGAACAGAGAACCTATAAACATCTCCATACAAAGGAGTCACTGAAACAATCAGAGATTCTATCTCATCTCACCCTTCTAAGGACATTTGGAAATGCAGTTTTAATGAATACAGAACCGGAGCCTTAACCCAGGTATCCAGAGGTACTCCAGACTTTTTTTTAAATGGCTACAGTTTTAGCACTTGTACCAAATGGTTTTACGTGCCTAAGGAAGTAAAGCCTTTCCTGTGGTTTTTGAACAATTTTCTATTTTCTGCTCAGACAATGTGAACATCAGAAATTTCTGAATCAAGTATTTCAGACTCAAAGTAAAATGGAAAATGTGGGGTGCCTGGGTGGCTCAGTCGGTTAAGCATCTGCCTTCGGCTCAGGTCATGATCCCAGGGTCCTAGGATCGAGCCCCACATGGGGCTCCTTGCTCAGCGTGGAGCCTGCTTCTCCCTCAGCTTGTGCTCTCTCTCTCTGTCAAACAAATAAATAAAGTCTAAAAAAAAAAAAGTAAAACGGAAAATGTTAGTCATCAACAGACGAACAGACACAGGAAAAGATAAAACTGTCATTTTCCGATGATACGATTATATATGTAAAAAAATAGACACACAAACAAAAGAAACCACAGGACAGCTATTAGAATTAACAAGTGAATTTGACAAAGTTGCTGAATATCAGGTCACTATGCAAAAACCAATTGTGCTTTTATATATCAGCAATAAACACTTAGAGCCTCAACACAAAGTGTAAAACACCGTTGAGCAAATTAAAGAATACCTAAATAAATGGAGGGATATTTTATACTCACGGATTGTACATCTCATTGTCGGTAAGATATTAATTCTTTCCTAAATCCGACCTCAGTTAAAGTCCCCAGCAGGGGACAACTTGGTGGCTCGTGGGTTAAGTAGCTGACTCCTGATTTCTGCTCAGGTCATGATCTCAGGGTCCTAGGATTGAGCCCCACGTCAGGCTCCATGCTCAGCGGGAGTCTGCTTGAGGACTCTCTCTCTCCCCCTCCCCTTAATCCCAATCTCCCCACCCCCCCCCCCCCACTCTCTCTCTAAAATATATAGATAAAACTTTTAAAAATCCCAGCAGGTTTTTTGGTGGAAACTGACAAGCTGATTGTAAAATTTATATGGAAATGCAAAAGGTCAAGGATAGCCAAGGCAATCTTGAAGAACCACAGAATTGGAGGACTCACTCCACCAGATGTCAAGACCTGTCATAACGCTACAGTAGTTAAAATATTGTGGAATTGGTGTAAAGTCAGACAAGTAGACCACTAGAACAGAATAGAGAATCTAGAAACAAATCCAATGGGTGATCACCTGATTCACAACAAAGGTGTATTGCAGTGCAGTGGGGGAAAGGATGATCTTTTCAATAAATGGTGCTGGGTCAATTAAAAATCCATATACAGAACAGTGAACCTTGAGCCTTACCTTTACACCACCCACAAAAATCAATTCGAGATAGATTACAGACCAAAATGTAAATGATAGAACAATAAAGCTTCTAAGAGAAAACTTGGAAGAATATATTTATAAAATTGGAGCAAGATTAAATAGGAAACAAAAGAATCACCAATTAAAAATGATTGATAAGGTGCAGGGCCGAGGACAGTGGCCCTTCCTGTCCAAGTCTTAGGGTAGAACTGGTTATTAATATCTTGATATTGAGGAAGGCAGCATTTGGTTTTTATACATTTCTTTTCTATGCCAACACTTTACATGACTTACGTCCTAAGTGAAAGGAAGCTTGAAAAGCTGCTAATGAAAACAACATTATCTCTTCGGGTTCACACTCAAAGAGTGCTCCAGATGAACTGTATATCAGTATTTTCAAGACCATAGCAGTATAAACTATAACAGTAGGTTCCAGATTATATACGATATCCTTGTGATCCTACCCAGCAATGTTCAGAGATCACTGACACTTTGACGAAGGAACCCCAGTACAGAGAGGGGGCATGACTCATCTATGTCACAGTGAGCACCAGATCGGGACCAAGAACACACCGCAGTTCAGTATTCTTTCCGCCACCATAAAGTATCTTATCCTTGACACAGTACCATACGGTTCACTCGGGTGTCTCTATAGATCTCTATGTTCTATAATGACATTTCAGTAACTTGAGTATTTTTTTCTCCCAGTAAGTGCACTTCAACTTCTGCCAGAAATGATCTCTCTCCTCTCTGCTTTTCTAAGTCCCACCTATTTTTCCGAGATGCGGCTCAAATCCCACTTTCTTCATGTAACCTTCCCCCATCAGGCCCGCTTGGGCAGCCCTCTTCCTTACCTCAATTCCTACTGTCCTGCTGCCCTATGATACTCATTTAGCAATTAATTAAATGCAGCACTTCACCAGTTCTGCTTGCTGTTTGGAACTGTTGTTCATTCTTCCTGCTCCTGTTGTTCCAAGTCCTGTTTAATAACATCCCAGGAGCCCTGGTATTGCCATGGGAGAGCAATCGATGACTTTCTTTTTAGTGGTTATTGAGTACGAGCTCTGCACTACTCCACAGATATAGGAGAGGCTCTCCCTCTCACAGAGCTTACAGCCCCACTGGGGACACTGCAGGCACACACATTTGAAGTCCTACAAGCGAGAAAACGGTCTAAAATGAAATGCGTGGCACAGAGAAGACATATTCAGTGTGTGAATTAAAGGAGCCTGGGCTGCAGAAGAGTCATGGACTTGAAGTCCTCTCAAGTTGGGACTTGAGATGGTCTTGAAGTATGGGAAGGCATCCTGATGAGAGGAGAGGAGAAGAGAAAGGTAGCGGAGAGGGACGAGGAGGAGAGGGGAGGGAACGGCATTCTGGAAGATCAGAGGCACACACAACAGCAAGCATAGCCCCCACTGGAGGAGAGTGAGCAGATCAGCCAAGCGAGAGCGAAGGCCCAAGGTAGGTATCAGTGGGAGGAAGACTGAGGTTAGGACGGGAACAGAAGGCCCTGAATGGGTAGCTTAAACATTTGCACTTGATCCAATGAATAGTCCGTAGGATGAAATGCAAGCTCACTCCTAGAGAGCTCTCAAAATGGGAAAGATTCAAATTCACTTCTGCCTAACTAAAGGCAGGAACATGGAATCTCTCTTGAGATTTTTCTGGTCTAAGTACAAAAACCATGACATCACACCCAGACCCCTAGGGTCACTGGCTGACAGGACCCATCTGCCACCCAGCTCATACCAGTCTGCTTTCTTCTTTCTGCTTGTAGCTCTTTCTTTGATCTTCCTCACTCTCTTTCTTCCCATCTAAATATTCTCCAAGCGCTTCCCTGTGATGGGAGAAAGTAGAGAAACTAAAGTTATTTCTAGTATGTGGATTCTATATTTAGAGTTTCCATAGTGCATCATACCATATACGAAAATATATCCCATATGGATAAAAATTTAAATATTAAAAAAACACAATCATAAAAACACTAGAAGTAAATACAGGAGAGAACCCATCTTAGAATAAGACCAAAGCTAGAAAAAAAAAAATTGAGGGACTTTACTTCTTAAAATTTAAAATTCTTCTCCTTGAATCAAGGGATAAACTCGTAAAAGATACTTGACAAAATGTTTCCATCTAGAAAATAGAACAGGCTCCTTCAAATCAATACAAAAACCACAAAATACCAATTAGAAAAACTGGCAAAGGATGTGGACAGACAACTTACAGAAGAAATACAACAGGAAAATAGACATTTGGAAATACGTTCAACTTCACATAGAACCTGAGAAATGAAATTGAGAAGCCCATCAGGTATCATTATTCTCCATACCAGATGAGAAAAGATTTAAAAGGTCGATAATGGGATGCCTGGGTAGCTCAGTCAGTGAAGCGTCTGCCTTCGGCTCAGGTCATGGTCCCAGGGTCCTGGGAGCAAGCCCCGCATCAGGTTCCCTGCTCGGCGGGAAGCCTGCTTCTCCCTCTCCCTCTCCCACTCCCCCTGCTTGTGTAAATATATAAATAAATAAAAGATTAATAATATCAGGTGTGGGCCAGGTACAGGTGCCCAACTATTCACACCACTCCACAAGTGGGGATGTGAAGTGTAACAACCTGTCCAAAAGGTGATTTGGCGAGATTTATCACACACTTAAATACGCCTCCCCTCTGACCCACCTTCAGGAATTCTCTGCAAAAAGTACTCAGAGAGGGGGCGCCTGGCTGGCTCAGTTGGTTAAGCGACTGCCTTTGGCTCAGGTCATGATCCTGGAGTCCCGGGATCGAGTCCCGCATCGGGCTCCCTGCTGGGCAGGGAGTCTGCTTCTCCCTCTGACCCTCC